ATCATTGTTTGGCGGGCCCGGGCTGGATTCGAACCCACCACCTTAGGTGTATGTGGCTGGCGCCTTAGCCACTTGAGCCACAGGCGCCGAGCCTATATACAAAATCTTAACAGAAAGTACTGGAGTTTTTTTTATATAGAGATAAGCAGTGAATAATCTCAAAAAAAACACCAGCTTGGCGTTGATTTGAACCTCTACCAAATCCAATCTTGACTAGTCAGTAAGTTACTGGCGCTCATGGTTTTCCTGAGCACTGACCCCACCAACCCCCAGGTTACTGAGCTGCTGGAGGGCAAGTGCGCCCCCTCCCAGTCCAGGCTGCCTCGGTGACAGGGCAGCAACTCCAGCCTCTCTCGACTAAAGAATTCAATTCTTACATGCTGTTATAGAAAAAGAAACGGGGAGGGAGGAACTGTGACCTAGGTTTTTACACTTAGGTTTTCCATATCCAAACATTTTACACCAAGATGACATAATACGGCTACAAATGCAAAATGTTGCTGTGGCTCAGAACCACGGATACTCGAATAAGTGAAACAGACAAATTAGTACTTATCAGACAACGTTGCCTCCAGATTAGATCCACCCTAATGGGTGTCAAGTGTTGACACCAGAGTTTGCCTTCTCAGGTAGCTGGGCACCACGTGCCAAAGAACCACCCAAACTGAGGATGGAGCTCGGCGCGGAGGGTGCCGGGCCGGGAGGGAACTTGGGGTGCGAGTAAGTCCGGTCGGACGTGCCGACGCTGCCGGGGACTCCACCCATTCCCCATCCGGCGACATCCCGCCGGCAATTATTTACAGACAGCTACACACGTCGACTCCCCCAAGCGCCCTCCCGGGTCCCTCTCCACTGACCGCCGAGACCGCAGGCTGCGCAACGCGCGCCCTTCCCGCGCCCCAGCCGGGCCCCGTTAGCGCCCCTTGCCGCGCGCCCGGAGCCCCTTCCGGCCCAGCAAAACCAGGGCGCGGGGACAGAGCGGAGAACGGGCCAAGCGCCAGCCGCGCGGAAAACAACCCAGAGCCGAACACTTGGACTGTGCCCCCGACCCAGCTCGACTCCCTCCTAACTAAAACAACGAACTCACACGCGCCATCTTGAAGGCTGCACGAACAGAAAGACAGTGGCAGTGGCGCGGCGAGCTCTTATACCATAGCGCGCTGCGTCACGCTTGCGTCAGGCGCTGCGCACGCGCCGAGGTGCCGCCTCCCGGAAGAGGGCGAGGCGGTCCTGGGCTTTCTGCGCCGGCTCCTCGGTTCTGACCGCCGTGCCCCGCCCGGCTTCAGACACCGGCTGGAGGCGCCTTCCGCTCCTCTCTCGACTCTATAGCCTCGCCTCGCTCCTCCAGCGGAACGGCTGTGGCTGTTTCTGTGTTTTTTCTTTCTTCTTTCCCCTATAGAACATACGCTGGGCGTATGAGCTCTGTTTTCTAAGTGACTGTTCAGGGAAATCAGACAAAATAAACTAGGTTAGGGGAAAACTCTTTAAGAGAAACCCACAGGGTGGGAGGGAAGAAAGAAGAAAAGAAAAAAACTGGGTGAGTTAAACCGAGTAGACACAGCTGAAGAGAAAATCAGGGAATGGGCAATGACTTAGAGTGCAGCAGAGAAAGGTGAAGAGATGGGAAATACAAAAGTTAGGATAGCAGACGTCGTTGTCACAGTAAGAGCTTTCTGGTTATGTGAACCAGGAGATCCGGGAGGATTTAATAGAGATTATGGGGAAAAGAAAGAATTTAGATAATGGCTGAAGTCTCAGATTCTAGAAGCCCCAAGAGGGCTTAAAAGAAACGCACACCTAGACACATCGTAGTGAAACTTCAAAAGACATAGGCAAAATTATTTCAAAAGCATCCAGAGATGGAACAAACAAAATACCCACTGAAGGAATTTGCTAGCAGGTGACTTCACATCTGCAGCAATGGGAGCCAGAGGCTGTCTGCAAGTGTCGAGAGAAAGGAACTCTCCGCCTAGACCTAAAGTTGCAAGTATAAAACCGTCTTTACTACATGACCTTCAATTTTTATTTTTGTTTGGTATTTATTCATCTTTCCCAGTAATCCTTTATAAATGACTTTTTAAATGATGCATTTAAGACATTTTTAGACCATATCACCTAGAAGTTTTCTCAGTAGGGGAATTCTGAAAGATACACTTAGGAAGGCAAATGTTCCTGGAAAGAAGGCCTATATATCAAAGAAATGATGGGCAGAGGAAATGGCTAACTTGTGAGTAAATCTAAACAAACACCACTGGATACAAAAGTAATAGTCATGTCTAATTTGTGGGCTTGAGGTGCTGTTAATGTTCTGTTTTATATCTTGATCATCTTGATGGTGCTTTCATGGGTATGTTTGGTTTGTGAAAACTCATCAAGCAGGCTTGGTACCTGTAGCTCAGTTGTTAGGGTGCTGGCCACATACACCCAGGCTGGTGTGCTCAAACCCAGCCCGGGCCAGCTAAAACAACAATGACAACAACAAAAATAGTCGGGCCCGGTGGCAGGCACCTATAGTTCCAGCTACTTGGGAGGCTGAGGCAAGAGAATTGCTTAAGCCAAGAGTTTGAGGTTGCTGTCAGCTGTGACGCCATGGCACTCTACCCGGGGCAACATAGTGAGAACTCTGTCTCAAAAAAGAAAAGAAAAAGAAAACTCATCAAGCTGATTATAGTCTGTTCATTTTTCTATATATATGTTACATTTAAATTAAAAACTATCATAAGAACACAGTATAAATTACTAGAAGCCAAAATATGACAAATTAGATGAAATGAAGAAATTCCTAGAAAAATGTAACAACTTACACAAGAATAGAATATCTAAAAAGTCCCATACCTTTTAAATAAATTGGATATGTGATTAAAAACTTGCCACAAGAAAAATACCCAGATAACTTCATCAGTAAATTCTGCCAATCACTAGAGGCAGAAATAATGCCAAAAGTAACAGTTTTATGCCCACATGCTATCAGTTCACCTTTAATCCAGAAGAGGGAGGAGCATTCACGCACAGTTGTCTGTCCCCATTGATAAATGGTTTCCTTGCATTTCTGGGTTGTAAATGTGTAGGTGAGTACTGGTAGGGAGGTTCCCACAAGGGAGTCTTGCCTCCTATAGGAGAAGACATGCAGTAGAAGGTGAAAATACATGGGGTGGTGCTGTCATCTGAGTCCTGCACACGCTGGCTGCTGCTCCCTTCTTGTGAGTGGACAGCACAGAAATGCTTTCGGCATCCCTACCTGAAAGATCCTGGCAGAGTTCAGCCTCAGTTGTCTCCAGCACATTTCTGTCTTTATTCCTTCCCAGTTTCTTCTGTTACTGAGACCACTTCCTGAACCAACCAACTTCAGGGAGCTGATATGCCAAGATGCCAATTTTACACAAACTCTTCCAGCTAGTAGAAAATTAGACACACTCAACTTAGTTTAAGAGACCAGTATAACCTTGATCCTAAAACCTGATAGGGATATTTTGAGAAAAGAACATTATAGTCCAATCTCATTCATAAATGTATAATGATAAATGTATATATATGTGTATATATATACACTGCAGTCACCATATAGCAGACCATATCCAACAATGTCATACAGCAAGTTGAGCAATATTGTAATTATCTGTACTTGATATAATTGGATATGTACAAAAAGTCAAAGAACTTAGAGAAAAATTATTAGAATTAGTATGTGTAGTTATCAAGATTACTGGATACCACATTCATATACAAAAATAAATTACTTATCTATAAACCACATGAATTAAATGGAACTTGGAAAAATTTTTTAATTGCATAAATATATTAAATATCTAAGGTAAAAGACTTCTGTGCAGAAAGGAAAGGAAAAAAAAGAAAATAGTGACTAATTCTCACATAAATTGAATTTTGGTCAAAGTACATTATTTGAACAATAATTTTTAATCCAACTTGTTAATACGTTGTTTAGGATATTGCATCCTCATTTATAAGTGAAATATGTTTGTAATTTCCCTTTATAATATTTTTTCCAATTTTAATATCAGGTATATCCAGATGAAGTTGAATGATTTTGAAGTATTTCTTCTTTTTTATTGCCTATAAGATTTGGCATGATCTTTTTTTTTTTTTGAAATTATCTTCTATTTTTATTTATAAATATCAGTTGTCTATTTTTTGAAACATTGGGGAAAAAAAAGAACTGATGACTCCATACTGAACCTCAGTCAAAACATTGTATGATAGGCATACTTTTATCTGACAATGTGAATGTTACTTTTTTTGCATTATTATTATTGCTCAATATTTTGTTGCAGCAATCATCCGATTCCTTTTCCAAATGTATTTATCTTTGTTTGTTCTTTACGAGGTTTTTGTTTCTAGACCTTCCCTTAAATGTTGTTATTATTATTAAATTTTAAGCCTTTTTAATTTTGTGAAGGCAAAAAGTGGAAACCAAATAAACACATGTATATGTTTAGGGAAAATTAAAAAACATATATAAAATATAATTGAGAAATTAAAAGAGACCAAATAGAAGGACATTCACAGTTCAGGGATTGGTACACTTGATAGAATTGTCCGTTCTCTCAAAGCTAAATTATAGATTCAGTGTGATGCCAGACAACAACTTAACAGATGTATGTAGCAGACGCTTGCTCTCACTCACTGTTCCTCTCTTCCCCCATGCCTCTGTGCGTCACACAAATCAATGTGAAAATTCGTATGGAAGAACAAAAGTATCAGGGCAGTCAGAGTATGTTTGAAGAAAGAAAAATTAGAACTTTCTCTACCAGATTAAACCATGACTAAGATAGCACAATATTGTTTTAGGGTTAGGAATATAGATGAATGGAATGGAGTAGAGAACATAAAAACATACACACGTCAGCATGTGTGTTGCCACTTATGGCAAAATGGCACTTTACAATAGTGGAGAAAAGATTCTTACAACCCTCGTTATTTTTCAAATTGAAAATATGTAAATGTGTTCCTACTAAAACATAGACCTTAGGTCAACATAAAACTTTAAAATCCACACTAGTATGTTGTTATCCTGGAAAGATTATGGATATGCTTGTGAATGTTTATAAATTAATAAACATTTATTCATGCAAGCATCAATATGTACATTTTAAACTATGAAAAATTGCTGACATTTCAGTAAACATGACTTTGAATTTAATTATCCATTATGGTCCATTTGTGTTAATATCCAATTTCAATTAACATTCCCAGCCATAAGCTAGGGCATTAAGGGGCTAGGTTTCAAAATATAAAAAATACAAGTTAGATTTTCTTTTAAAAGTTATAAACACATTGGCTTGGCACCCATAGCTCAGTGGTTAGGTCACCAGCCAAATACAACAAGGCAGGCAGGTGGGTTTGAACCCAGCCAGGGCCAGCTAAATAACAACTGCAAAAAAAATAGCCAGGCATTGTAGCAGGTGCCTATAGTCCCAGCTACTTGGGAGGCTGAGGCAAGAGAATGGCTTAAGCCCATGAATTTGAGGTTGCTGTGAGCTGTGACGCAGGTGTAGTGGCTGACACCTATAATCCCAGCAACCTGGGAAGCTGAGGTGGGTGGATTGCCTGAACTCTTGATCAGCCTGAGCAAGATCAAGAACCCATCTCTACCAGAAATGGGAAAGTTAGACAAGCATTGTGGCAGACACCTGTAGTCCCAGCTACTTGGGAAGCTGAGACAAGAGGATCACTTGAGCCCAAGTTTGAAGTTGTTGTGAACTATGACAACACCGCACTCTACCCAGAGTGAAAGAGTGAGACTCCATCTCAAAAAAAAAAAAAACAACAAACAGTACAAGCTGTTAAATTAACTTTATTTTTATTTAATATAACCGAAGATAACAGACAAATACATTTTAATATAACAAAAGTTATAATAAGTTATAAGTTTATCTATATTTTAGTATAGCCAAAGACTTAACATTTGAATTTTACCCATGTTTGAAATGTAAAATGCACAATTATTATGTTCATACTACATGTTAAATTTTTTAAGTTTTACCTAAAACATTTGAGTCTCTGCCGCTAAAAGCAAGAGTTCTCCTACACCTAAGATAAATAAAACATATTGCTAATAAAGTGCCACTGGGTCAGACAATGCCGCTTCAAAAATGTCCTTTTGGGGAGGAGGTAAAGAGTATAGAACTGGTCATTTCCATTACACCAGTACAGAACTAGTAATCTGTACTCTACTTTGTACGGAGCACAAGAGTGCTTATTTATACCAGATATTAACCACAACAAAGAATTCCTTCCAGGAAAGATCACAACTATAGCTATGACAAGCTGTCCAGTCTTTGTTGAATACAGTTTACAGTCCAGAGTTTTTAAAAAGTAGAATCTAGAGCCAAGATAAACTGAAGTGTACTAATACCAAGAAACAGTTTTAGGGACTTCGTATAAATAAAAGAACCTTTTAATTGTAAAATAGATTCTACCTGTTCTAAGAAGGGAGCGTGGTGGACGGCAGAGCTCGGCAGCAAGCACGTGCCCAGCAGTGGGAGCCGGGGCTGGCGGCCACCAGATGCATCTGGTACAGAAAGAAAACGCGCTTATTGGATGCACACAGAACTTTTCAGGCACTTGACCTCACTTGGTAGTTAAGTTGGTGTCCAGACATTTATTAAGCGGGAAAACATTAAATTATACACTGACTTTGAGCCATGTTCCCATAGAACATCTGTGTTCTGTAAGCTAAATACAAATGTTCCCTGCTAAAATCAAATAATGATGCCTTATACGCAATTTAGAGAAAAACAATTCAATGAAGTCAACAGATTAGATTTTCTCTATTTTAAGATTTTTCTACCATAAATTTTTCTTAAATCTCTATTGCCTATTATTTGTCTGAATGCTAGCAGAAAAAGGTTTAACAACTGTGAAATATTATACCTAAATCATATTAGAAAATTAAAACTTCTGATCAGTACAGTATTTTGCTTATGGAAATATGCTTGTATTTCTGCTCTTGTGCTGCTTAAGAGCCACATTTTCTCACAGTAAATATGTTCCTAGTTCATATTACAGAATTCAATATACAAATGTTTGAATGTACCCAAGAGGGCATTGTGAATTTCTATCTGCTGTCTCTAAGGTTGGAGACATTACATCAACATCTGGCTTTAAAACTATTTTGGAGGTCCACATCAAAGGGATGCTTTTCAAATATCCTTCAAATTGTAAGGACCAGGGGGTCCAAGATGAGACTACCAAATTCTATTCTTGAATGAAAAAATATGGTAAGATTCTAGTATAGATGCTACTAATACTTCCACTTTTTCTTGAACACTTGGTATGTAGTTTAACTATGTTGATAAGAATTTTTTATAGGTATGCATCATGGTACTACAACGTGGGAAAGTTTTACTATATGCTTTCAGGCAGTTAGCTTTAAAATACTGAAACTCCAGCTCTTAGCACAAAACAGCCCTGAGAACAATGCATTCAAATTACAGCTCAACTAGAAATAATCTAATTGAGAAACCTTAAAGTACAAAAACAAGTTCTGAAAAAGTTGTAAATTAATAAAAATAAAACCAGTTACCAACATTTGAGGCACTACCCGACTACAGTACTTTTAAGAGTTGGAAGGACTTTGGAAAAAGAACGCACATACACAGCTATGTGTGCACTGGCACATGCTCACGCTGTGTGGGGATGAGAAGCTGCGTCCCCCAACTGTATGGCCTGAACATTTCAGTGCAGCATCTCCTGTCAAGCTCTGACTGCAGGCAAGTTTTGGTGATTAATATAAAGCATTGTTACAGGGACAAGAGCTTGGTTCAAGGAATTTCTTCAAGTGACTGACAGCCCTTGGAGGGGACCACAAAGAAAAACCTCATAATCACATTTATGAAGCAACAGCAAAGTCAAAGCAGCAAGAAGGCGGCCTTTGCCCGCAGGCGTACGGTTCTGTACCAAACAAGGTTTAACAGAGTCTTCACAGTACAAATAAAATATGCTGTTCTAGAAAGAAACAAATATTTAACCTGTCTGACTATAAACTGGTGAAATGTGTACAGACAAAAGGGCATGTCGTGTGTAATCTGTCAACGTTACCACCCACGGTCTAGGATGGTCATGTGTAACATTCAGTACTTGCTACAAAAAAGTACAAGAAATACTAGGAATCAACTTCTAACATTTCTCTGCTAAAAAGAATGAAGTCACTTCTGTTCTATGTTAAAAAATATGTTCCTTGCCTCCTCTTAATTTATAAAGCTTTACTAAATGAGCTATTTTGTTCCAGAGAAACACCTATTGTCATATGTGAAAATAAACAGTCCCATATCTTTAAAATCTATACTTATATGTCAGAAGAATATTTACACTTCATATCATACTTAAATGAAATATATATGCACAAATAGCTTTTGCCATTCAGGGTATGAAGATAGAGACACATTATACTTCCCACCCCCATCACAGCTGAAAGTGTGTTTATGTGAAGTCTGACAAACTCTGGAGGACAGGGCATGCTAGTCTAGAGCTAATACTCAATCTGGACACCAGTGCAGTTAGCAGAGCCCTGTGAGTGACCAGCTGACGGAACAGATTAATAATGTTCTGGAATTCCTGTGGGTAACATTGCCAACCAGTAAGGAGTAAGATATGTATTACAGAGTGCCAGAAACTAGAGCAGCATGTGGGGATACTTACATAGCGCATGGGGAGAAGTGAGCCTACTTCCTAATTGTGCTTTAGATGGGCAAAAGCTAACATGTTAATATTAAGAACCATTAGCCACAACCTCAGTATTTCCTGTGCTTTACAAGTTTCCTCTTTGTATTTCTGTTAGAGTGTCTTGCTGCTTCTCCTATTGAGTTTTCTGAAGCGAAGGTAAGATTTAAAAGTCTATACAAATAATGCAACTAAAACTTTGGGATCTTCTGTTCCTGATGCTATTTCCAGTGACTGATTAGATCAGCTACATCATCTTATATGTTTTCCTCTAGGTTAATGAAACAAAGGCCTTTTAGAGGTCAAGGAATGAAGGAAGGGGTCCAGAACCAGTCTTAGAGAACTAAGGTATTACTTAGATAGTGACTTCGTTCTAAGCTTCACTCCAATATGATGACTGTTAGTGAAAGGTCCTCACAAACACTGCAGTGTCTACAAGTCAGGAAATGACTCAAAAGAATAAACAGAAATACAGTGGTGTCACCTAAAATATCTTTTAAAATAATTCAGTTGATAGCATTCTTTCCTAGTTGTATTTCATACTAATAACTGAACAGGCACATGATAATCAGAAAAAATGCATATACTTAAAATAAGTTAGATAACAATATGTAAAGTGACACTTCTTCCATGATTCACTTTCATTTCACTTTAGAAAAATGTACAGAAAGTTAACAAAGCTGGTTTTTGTCTAACAAATATTTTAATGTAAAAAATATCTAATTAAAAATGGCTGGAAAGGAATGCTTACTGATAAATACCAACGTGGCTGGGAAAAAGTGCTGTGTACTACTCTGTAGAGTGATGCTGGGGGTATGGGTAGGGGACAGGAGTTAAAAGCAAAAACACAACTGAAAAGCAACTTTTCATTTTCATGTTGACTTTAAAAGCCTCAAACAAAACCAGCTGACTTTCACCCACCCTTGCCATTGTCTTTTGTGTATTCTCTGTAATCAGACTCACTTACTTCACCCCACACCTCACCCCTCTGCTGTCAAAGGAAGGTACCAACACCACACAGAAGGTGCTGTTGAGTCTGCCAACAATTTGGCAAATAATAGTGTGACCAAGGTAATACATGGGTACACATGGCCATTGAGATAACTGACGTGGTGACAGCATGATTTTTGTTTAAGGATTTAACTTAAATCCTTGTCACAGTTCAGCGTGGCACACACAAGCTGAACTGTGACAATTCCAATCCATCATCTACGTATTTTATGATACTAAATCTGAAATTAATGCAGAGAAGTTCAACTTAAATGTGGTACTTTAATACCACAATATGCTACATTGTCTGATTCAAAACCCTGGTTTATTTATCATTTAACTAAAATTCAGGAATGATTTGCTCAGACAAATCGTATTTGCTGAAGCTATCCTGTCTGTTTCTTAGACTCACATACTGAAAACCACACGAATGTTATAGGAAAACCACCTACAAAACTGAAAAATAAAATTATACATCTCAATAATTTTTTTAAACTACGAATTGCCTGCAAAAGTAACCCAACACAATTTCAAAACAATTACCAAAACAAACGAGGTTGCTTATGAAGATCATAGCTTTGGTGACAACTTAGAACCAAACTTTAGGTCCGCAGTGACCCAGATGGAGGGGCTGGCCACGCTGCTGACCTTACTTGCAGGGTTTGATGGCTACTGCGTATTCCTCACTCATGGCGCACATGACGGACACCTAGGAGGGAAAGTGCAGGCAAAGATTTGTTTAGAAGATGATGCATATGTGAGGTGTACTTGTTCACACGTTTTAGATTTGTGTCTCTTCTGTACATGCTGACTTTGGAAAGAGGTATTCCAAAATAATCTCCTTTCTTTACAGTTTTCTGAACTAGAATTTTTCACATTGTAAAATAACTTCCAGGGAGTAGGGGGAATAAGAGCTGTGTTTCAACAGTAACTAGACGTTACTTTTGAAAGGTGTGAGGGTAAATCTTCACTCTTTAACCCTCCCTCACAGCATCATTTCTTATTCTTAATAACTTATTCAAATGCAGGGCCTCAAAACAAACTAGGGATCACGGTGTTTATGGAGCAAAAAAATGAACTTCAATGCCTCTTTGGTGATGGGACTCTGAGTATTATGGCAAAACTGTGTTACAGAGGTAATTTTCATTACATTTCAACAATATCTGTAAGCCACATTCCATACAAATATTTTATGCTAACTAAGTCGGAATGTTTTATTAAATGGTTTAAAGCAGCCTTCCCACGTGTCCTCACCTGAACATCTTCACCTGCATTGTATTTTCCTTCTATTTCTTTGCCCAGATCACCTTCTGGCAGTTTAAGATCCTCACGCACTTCTCCGGTTTCCGTCAGCAGGGAAAGGTAGCCATCCTGAATGCATATCAGCTATTAGGAGAAATCACATCATAGGCATGGATGAGGCTCAACCCACTCCTGTTATGCTTACACGGTTAAATTACAATGCACATCAATCTATATAAATTATCAGTAATACACTCATACTCTTGGTGTTTAAATGTGCTACAATATGAAATAATATGTACAGAATCAAAGTATTATGTTCACTTCTCCCTGTACTCAACCTCCGGTCTCTGCATTACTCAATAGTTTAGACCTCTCTCTAGTTTATCCTGAAGCATTTGCATTAACGTACACAATACAAATATAGCTGCTTTAAAAAACATATGATAGGTATATTTTGCTTTGTCACCCTGGGTACAGTGCCATGGCATTTCAGCTCACAGCGACCTCAAACTCCAGGGCTCAAGTGATCCTCCTGCCTCAGCATCCTGAGTAGCTGGGACTCTAGGCACCCCCCATTACTTTCAGCTAATTTTTATTTTTTTTAGAGATGGGTCTCCCTCTTGCTGGTCTCAAAGTCCTGAGCTCAGGCATCCACCTGCCTCAGCCTCTCAGAGTGCTAAGACTACAGGAGCCACCACGCTCCGCCCTTTTTTTTTTTAATTTTGTGCATGTTTTTCAGCAAGCTGTTTTGACTTTTAATGTTTCAGAAATCTTTTCAAATTAGAAAACATAAACCTACCTTAGTCTATTTAGCACTACACAACTGCATACCTGTGCTGCAACTGACTTAACAATCTTCCCATTAGCACGGAAAGTATTTTCAATTTTTCAATGTTATAAACAATGCATTTTATAACTTGATTATAAGCAAATGTAAGTGGAAAATTTTTGGTCTCCAGCTCTCTGCTAACAACAGACTTTTCCCCCAAAGAAACAAACACTAGCTTATTGATGACATTAATGAGACAAAGCCAGTGATCAACCTAACGTGTAAAATATGGTTTTGATGTCACCGAATTCCTCTTACCACAGGATTGAGGAAACAACCCGCCCTGCTCACTTATCCTAAAAGCATGAACACCACCAGCCTGCCTAGAATCCCAGGGGGTTTTATAACCAACCATCCCCTGGACACCAGCTGCTAACAGAGAGGAAGCTGTCAAAGTCAGTCTTGGGCCCATCAGCTCGTGGTGTGGCCTAGCACACTGCTGGACGGGCCTGTGTGACACAGAGAGCTTCCTTACGGACGCCAGCCACCATGCCAGGCTTTCCACAAAAACCCCACCCACCATGAGAAGTTTTTTGTACATTTCAAAACAATCTCAAAAACAAAAGCAACCATAGAGAGCAACAACACACACTTCAAGTAATCTCTCAGCCACATCAATGACAGTGAACTGCTTGGCAGAGCAGTGGGGACAGGGAGGCTGAGGCAGAAGTGTTAACTTTTTAAAGCCAGGGGTCTCACTATGGTGTCCAGGCCAGCAGTAAGCAACCCTCCTTACCTCAGCTTCTGAGTAGGTGTGGACTACAGGCGTGTACCATCTCATCCCACTTGAGATGTAATTTTTAAATAATTACCCACATGCTTACAAGGCAGATATTTCTAATTTCTGTTCTTTTACCAGTTTCCTGAAGTAGAACTTGTCTATTTCAAGAGTTAAAAATTCCTATTATTGCTAGTGACTAAAATTCAGTAGTCACTACTGAAAATTCAAAACTCACAATGCTGGCATTCTGATAGATATCTATATGATGGATTTTCTTTTTTGCCAGTTAAGAATTCATAAAGTGGCTCGGTGCCTATAGCTCAACCGGCTAGGGCGCCAGCCACGTACACCTAGGGTGGCGGGTTCGAGTCCCCAGCCCGGACCCGCCAAAAAACAACAATGACGGCTGCAACCAAAAATAGCCAGGCGTTGTGGCGGGCGCCTGTGGTCCCAGCTACTTGGGAGGCGGAGGCAGGAGACTCGCTTGAGCCCAGGAGTTGGAGGTTGCTGTGAGCTGTAATGCCACGGCACTCTACCCAGGGGGACAGCTTGAGGCTCTGTCTCAAAAAAAAAAAAAAAAAAAAAAGAATTCATAAAGTAAGCTGTGTGATGAAATATAAAACATTTCAAGTATAAAAATATATAAGTAACATATAAAACATAGGAAAATAATGCATTAATAAACATTAAATATTAAAATAGTTGTACGAAATAAGTTTTCAAAAATAAAACTAAATTACAGAAAAATAAACTTAAATAAATGAGATTGAATTACTTGACCCTTTACGTAATTAGGAAATCTTACAATCTACAGAAAAGTTGCAGTCGTGCAATGAAACCCCCATCCTGGGCCCAGATCTACTCATTGTCAACATTGACCCACAAGCACGTATCTTCTCTCCACATAGAATGCAGCATATGAAATGCATCTCTTTACTGAACCATTTGAGAATAAGTTTCAAAGACCATGACTTTTCAGCAATAAATACTTCAGTGTGTTTTCCCAGTAATAAGGAAGTGTTCTTATATAACTATGGTTTATTTTTCAAAATTAGAAAATATCCATAACTTATTATTCAATATGTAGCCCATATTCAAATTTGCCAACTGTCCTGATGTGGTCCCTGAAGAGGGAGCTCAGCCCAGCTCCAGGACTGTGACCTGGTATCTGCCTACTGCGCCATCTTCGTTGCCCTGAATGTGAGCTTCTCCTCGCCCTTTGCTCCGACACTGACAATTTGGAAGGGTAAGGCCACTGTCTCAGCATGTTCCTCGGTCTGGTTTGCCTCATTCTCTCTCAGGACTCCCCTAATGGATTTCTGAAAGGTATTCAACATAACTTAAGTGCCCTCACGGTATCATATGGGGGAGAAATGATGTAGCCTGTTGTTACTAGGGAGGTTAATTTTGATCATTTTCCATTCTGAAGGCACCTTTTTCCCTGTGTAACCTGCAATTTTTAAAATGCCAACAATGTCATTGTCAAGTCTCAAGCATATTTTTATGCAAATGCTTCCACCTTTTCTCAAAGGCCTGACTACAGAGTTGGGAGAAGGGGACAGCAAGGAGACTTACAAGCCAACTCCAGATATTTCCTTCTAATTCTTCACCTTTAAGACAATCTACCCACTTGATAACTTTAAGATGTTTTGAACAAGTCTTTGTTTTGTTGGAGGTAGTAGTTGTTAATAACAAGGGGGAGATCACAGGGTCAAGGTCATACTCAGAAAACTTCCAACAGGCACCAGGCATGTAGTGGTGCACCCCAAGTTTCTGAGCAGTGTGGGTTATACTGATACCAAAACATGGCGTCTTTTACTGCCTACTGAAAGAAGCTAGAGCTTCTTGGAAAAATGGACAATTACGGACCCAGAGCAGGAAGTGCACGGGCTCCTGCCTAGAAAGTGGGAGCAGCCAAGACTATGGGCCAAACAGATTTTTTTTTTTATACAAGTATTCAGGTGAGAAAAAAATGAAGGAATGACAAATCGTTATTTTGTCATTTATGATAAATTAAGGGCTTGGGAACTGGCTGAGTGCTGTTCCAGTGGGCTCAGGAGCCAGCCTGAGTGGGGATTCACTGGGCTCGGGAGCCGGCTGAGGAGGCTCCACTGGCCCAGCACAAAACAAGTGGAGAGTCCGTAAACGTGAGAACTACAAAGGATGGAAATGCAAATATAATTAAATGTCTTAAGTTCATAGTGAAAAAATATTTCATTGTCATCTTCAGGGGATGCTAGGAACCAACTCACTTTAAAAACTGGTAACCAAAGGGAAAGAACCAAGCATTTATACTGCCTTTCACATGTGAGTGTGCACATGTACACAGAGTGTATGCACTGTACCTCAAAGCAAAAGGAACTAATTTTTTTTTTATGCAAGTATTCAGGTCAGAAAAAATGAAGGAATGACAAATCATCATTTTGTCACCTCTGATAAATTAATGGAGGCAATGATCACATGGCTGGTTACATCCCAAACAGACAAATAACAACCATTGTTCAACCAAGAGTTGCACAAAACATCACCTACGGAGCAGTCTTGTTGAGAAAAGACAGAGGGGGACGATGGAGACCTGGAAGGGTAGAGGGCTAGGAGGTGTGGCTGATGGGATCTACTTGATGGCACACCAGAGTTGGGAGTGGGGGAGATGGTACCCTACGAGCACTGACTTGACCACTATGCAATCTACGCATGCAGCAAAATTATACTTGTAGCCCAGAAATTTATACAGTTAAAAATCCAAAAAGGAAAAAGTAGGTGTTAAGGTATAGATGAAACAAGATTGTCCATGTACTGGTCATCACTGAAGCTGAGTGATGGGCACATGGGATTCATTATACTGTACTTTGAAAAGTCCCACAATAAAAAGTAAAACAGAAAAATGTCAGGCCACGTCAGAATTCCAGGAGGAGCACAGTAACCATCAAACGCTGGGTGGCACAGCAGGCCAAGGAAGCAAAGCATGATCTAAACTAAAACAGTGGTTCTCAACCTTCCTAATGCCGCCGCCCTTTAATACAGTTCCTGTGGGTCGTGAACCACAGGTTGAGAACTGCTCATCTAAAGGGAAATGTGGGTAGTCAGCGACCGCAGCTTCTGTCCACGATGCGGTCAGGGTAGAAAGCATGCTCAGGACTTACGGGACGTTTTCTGCTTGCATTTATAATGCTGGTGTACAGTGGGAGGCGAGGGAAGGTGTATCACCAATGCAGGTGCCTTCTTAGCCCTAATTTTTTAATTTAATTTTGTTTCTCAATCTATTTCAAGACAACCAGACTTGTTTTGGAACCCCTATGCCTTTCTGCTTCTTCCTTCTTTTCTGGCAGCACTCTGAGTGGTTTCTTTAAAGGTGCTGGTCCACAGTAGAGATGGAATGCTTAATCACTGTCATCAATATTCCAAACGACAAACTACTACCATTAAACATGCCTCATCCAAATGTATAACTGGAACTTGAAGTTTACACATACAATTTAACAAAAGGTCAAAGTACTGTCACTAATAATATAAATAAGCCAAATACGTAGTTTTTGTATCTTCCTCACCGTATTCCAGTGATCATATTTGTAGCTTCCAACTTATTTCCCTACTTAAGGAAAAAAGTAGTTTTGACTTACATTCATTAATACAAAACCTTGATAGGTAAGAATGTGAATTTCAGCAGTGTCTTGAAAATCTTAATAATGATCAGTGCAAAGAAACAAAATATCCAGGGGGGAGATATTTAAATTGATATATCAGTACTAAACATCACGAACTAGTTATCAGATTTCTAGAAAGGTGGTGGTTAATAAATGGTGAGAAAAACCTACAAAACCACGCTTAAGTTTTGTCAAGTTACCAACGGCAATACTATACTTGTCCCTAACCCTAACCCAATGAAGATTAGTACTTACTTGATAATCATTTCTCTTAATATTTGGAACATCCATGTTGTGAGTAGAAGGGCAAATATCTTCGTATTTTTTGCCAGTGAAAATGTCAATTCCAACAAGGTGGACCTAAGAGAATGAGAACAAGAAACCTGTTTAATCTCTGCCACGGGGTCACTCACTGGATACACAAGAGCAGGATACCAAAGCTGACCTTTCTCCTCCTTCCAAGGTCATCTAATTTTACTTTTTCATCATAGAATTAAGATGCAGTAAATAAATAGCATCATGACATGTTAAAACTCAACTCAATACATGCATAGTCTGTTAATTCAATTACATGAGTACACAGAAAAAATAAAGTTAAGTTTCTTAGAATTACTACTACAGGTTTTCTCACGTGTAAATGGAGGTCTAGGTCACTAAGATCCAGGAAAGTTTCAGCTTCCAGTCCGTGAAATGCCGCAAGGGTGCAAGAAGGGACTGCTGGTACCTTAAACTACTCAAAGCAATAGTTGATCACCCATTATTAGTGGGGAAAAAACTATTAAAGTGTGTGAGGGAGAGTGCTTATTACAACATTGTAAGTATAGACATCTCCTGATCTGCAAATAATCAGAGTGCGGACGTTAAAGCCGAGGCCCGCCCAGGAGGCACTTGCCTTGGCGTGGCCGTGCTTCCCCGTTTTGGACGTCGACATCTCCACGATCTTGCACGGCCGTCCCTTGAGCACCACGAAGCCATTCTTGCGCAGGGCCGAGCACTGCATGGGGTAGGTGCTGGAGGCCCCGGCGTCTCCAGTGGTGAAATCGATTTCGTCCGCCATGGCGGCTGGAGGTCCTTTCTCCGTGGGGACTACGCGAAAAGTTTGTGCATGCTCTTCAGCAATGCGCACGCAAGAAGGGCCGCGACCGATTCCGGACCTGCGAGGCGCCGGCATCAGAGGCCTGCAGCGCGCCCGCCCAAGACCGGCCGCGCCCTCACCCGAGATCGGCCACCCGAGATCGGCCCGCACCTCCACCCGAGACCGGCTGGCACTCCCACTCGAGACCCGTGCGCACTTCACCCGGACGCCACGAACTTCCAGCCTTCGGCGGGCAAAGTGGCAAAGGAGCTCACGGGCTCCCAGCCCGCCGCCTGCCGCAAACAGGGGCCGCGACCTCCCCTCCGCCCCGCGCCCTTTGCCGGGCCCGGCCCAGCCCAGCCCAGCCCAGCCCAGCCACTGTCTGCGCGGGACGCGAACTAAGGGGCCCGGCCACAGGCGCCCGGCCTCGGGCAGCGGAGCGCACCGGGCCAGTCTGCACCGCGCCCCGCCCCACCCTGCTCACATCCCCGCCCGCATCCCCGGCCCGGCCCCGCCGCACCAGGGCCTGAGCTCCGCGGGTCCTGTGTTCGCGTCCGCCCCCGGTTCATCTTTCTCCTCCCCCCGGTAGGGTTGGCTTTAGACGCTTCCCCGGCTTGCCTTAGCTCCGGCTCCGGCCCCACCAGCTCCCCGGGCCTCACCTTACCGCAGGCAGCGCCTACCGCCTGCGCACCGTGCAGGTCCCGGCGGCGGCGGCGGCAGCGGCGGCGGCCGCGGCGACTCCAGGACCGAGGCGGGGCCGCCGCACTTCCCACGCCCGCCGCCCCGCCCCTTCCAGCCCCCGCCCCACTTCCGGGATAGGCTGCAGAGCGTTACAGGCACCGCCCTCTCAGGCCGCCATTGGCTGTCAGGCCCCCGAGACCCCGCCTCGTCACGTGAAGCGCGCCCTGGCAACCCCACGTGCCGCGGCTCAGTGCACTTCCGGCGTGCGGCGCTGCGGGACCCGGGTACTGAGATGAGCTCGCCGCCCCGACGTCTGCCCCTTAGCCTTTGACGTTTGTGGCGCTCAGGTCCTGGTCCCGGTTACTGGGATCCACGCCCCGCACTCGCGGGCCTTGCCGTCAGGGCGTGGCGATCGTCACGGACGGTCATCAGCGCGGCGAGGCGCAGCAGCGGGTGTCCCGGGTGGCGGTGCGCGGAACCCGGGCTTCTCTTCAGCGCGCAGCCGTCCTCGAAGCTCGAGTCCCGACGCAGTCGGCTACTGCTTGGCTCAGTGCCGCGACTTCTGCTGCGGAATCCGTGGGCGGGGGGTGCTGCAGCGGCCACTGCCGGGCCGCGGGGCTGGGTGCGGCGGGGCACCCTCTGAGCAGAGGCGGCCCAGAAGCGGCTGTGTCGGAGTTGGGGAGGCAGAGCGTGTCTGACTCTTCATAAAGTGCTCTGTCAGCACAGCCCTCCTTCCCGGGGCGCTGGCGCTGGCTAGGGCTTGGAGTTTGTCGATGCTACTCGGGGCGGTTAGTTGTCTTCAACCTAGAGCCGGTAGACCTGGGTGGAAAGGCTCCTGAAAGAAGAGAGGCGCTCACCTTTTCGCAATTCCATTTAACATTTTCTTACCTTGGAGATGTCATCTAGGAAATTTTCTTCCCACTCTACACCGCAGCTGTGGTCCTGTGATCCGTATTGCTGTCTAGTGAACAATCTGATTTCTCACAACCCTGTGACTACAGTTTACCCATTCATTTCACACAGGTCCAGTTTAATTTTTTTTTTTTTTTTTGCAGTTTTTGGCTGGGGCCAGGCCTGAACCCACCACTTCCGGTATATGGGGCTGGTGCCCTACTCCGTTGAGCCACAGGCGCCACCCGGTCCAGTTTAATTTTTACAGTAAGTGACCGCCCATGAAATGAATTCAGCCTGTAGTTAATGTATGGATGAGTGGGGACAGCAGCCCGGGTCATGAGTTCATTCTGGTTTTCCTTAACCACCTAACCTTTTCCTATTTCGGTTTGTCAGTGCTTGGGAATATGTATTTAAATAGGCAGGTGATGTAGCAAATGATGTATCTTGTTCTTTTTTTCTTTTTCTTTTTTTTTTGAGACAGAGCCTCAAGCTGTCGCCCTGGGTAGAGTGCCATTGAATCACAGCTCACAGCAACCTCCAACTCCTGGGCTCAAGCGATTCTCCTGCCTCCATCTCCCAAGTAGCTGGGACTACAGGTGCCCGCCAGAACGCTGGGCTATCTTTTGGTTGCAGCCCTGGTTGTTTGGTGGCCTGGGCTGGATTCGAAACCGCCAGCTCAGGTGTATGTGGCTGGTGCCTTAGCTGCTTGAGCCACAGGCACGGAGCCGTATCTTATTCTTTTAATCTTGATTGCTACTGTTTTTTAACATCATGTTTAAGTCATTATATATAATGTTTTAGTTTTATGAGTTTTGAAAAACATATATAACCGCCTATAATCAAGATATAAAATATTTACCTCATTCCAAAAGTTTCCTCATGTATATATTTTCCTCATTCCAAAAGTTTTCTTGTGTTTTTTTTGTGGTCAGTCTCCTCACCCCATTCCTATCCCCTGGAAAATATTAACTACTTTTCTATCTGCATTTTTAGTTATGGAAAAAGGTAGAGAAAATTAATTTGCTCTAATTCACAAAGCAAGTCAGAGAGCCAAGACTGAAATGTTGGCAGCCTGGCTCTGGAGTCCTGCCCTAATTGCTGCCATATACTGCATTCACGTAAGATTTGGAATCAAAAGAGTAGGTTTCATTCTTTGACAAGTACGACTGATTCTCCTGAAGTTGCTGGAACACTGGATTAGTAAATACTGAACCATTGCTCCTAGGGGAAACACATAGTTAGGTTCCTGTGAGCCTCTGAACACATTTTCATTAACTGCTCAATATGTGATCTTGTTTTCTGTGTTTTAGTTTAAAGACCCCGTTCTTACTATATGTTGCTGACTTGTTAACATTGAACTTGTGGCCAGCAGCAGATGAAGGTAGCTCATCTGACACACTTTCTCTATACGACACACCACACCCTTCTCATGCTTAGGGACACTAGACAGCTCTTCAGTGCAGGTTTTTGGGGCCATTTTAAACAGTTTAATCACAACCCCCCCCCCACAAAAACGTAAAAAGTGTGGCACTAGGGCAATGCCTGTGGCTCAAAGGAGTAGGGCACTGGCCCTGTATGCCAGAGGTGGTGGGTTCAAACCCAGCCCCAGCCAAAAAAAAAAAAAAAAAAGAAAGAAAGAAAAACCACAACCCCCCCCCCACAAATACTTAACTAGTAAAACATATCATTTTTTCCTAATACACTTTTTAAGTATTATAAAACAATGCTTTCATACCACATGTTCCCTGTGGTGAAAGAAAGCAAATAGACATTTTCAGCTCCCTTATGTATTAATTTACTATCTAACCAAATCTTGACCTAATTTCACACAAGATTAGCTTCCTTATTCTTTCAATTTCTGAATGTTAATTTCAAATGTGTAGAGTTTTAATATTTAAGATAAACAGACATGTCTGTTTTGGAAATAAACAGATATTAAATATTGACTTCAACCTTATATTACAATATTCCAGGGAAATAAAGCATTAAACTTAAAAATAGTAATAGGCAAAGAACTAAAATAATGGTGTGAGGAAGCCCCACAGAAGCAAAAAGAAATATGAAAAATAAACCAACATTCATACTGTTCAGCTAGAAGTCAAACCCAAAAATCAAAATTGTAACAAATAACAAAAAACAAAACCAAAAAGAAACAAATAAAAACACAAATGACAACTGGGAATATTTACAGCATCTACCAGACAAAGAGTAATAGTCTTACTATATAAAAAGATCTTGCAATGAATAAAACATGTGAAGAATCTACTGGAAAACCAGATAAAGAACATAAACAACAAATTGACAGAAATGCAAATAGCCAATAAATAAGAAAAAAATGTGTACACTAAGTAATCGATGAAATGCAAACTAAAACAACAAGGATCTATCATTTGATTATCACATTGGTTTCTGTGAAAGGTATTTATGAAAGTTCTAGAAAATAAGCAGTCTTAGGATGCTTCTTGAGGCACAAATTATTAGGTAGTCAAGTGCTATGTGATGACATTTTAGTTAATAATCGACCACATATACAACTGTGGTCCCATAAGATTAAATTGGGCTGAAAAATTCCTATCACCTAATGGAGTTGTAGCACAATGAATGACTCCCCTGTTTGTGGAGATGCCAGTGGAAGCAAACCCATGCACTGCCAGTCGTATGAAACCATAATACATACAATTATGTATAACATATAACATATGGTCATGATAATAAACGAATATGTTACTGGTCTATGTATTTACCATGCCATACATTACATCATTATTTTAGAGTGTGCTCTTTTTCCTTATAAAAATAGTTAACTGTAAAACATCCCCAGGCAGGGCCTTCAGCAGGTGTGCCCTATGAAGGCATTATCATAGGAGATGGGAGCTCTATGTATGTTACCGCCCCTGAAGATAGTCCAGTGGGACAAGATGTGGAAGTGGAAAATAGTGGCATTGACGTTCATTGACCTGTGTAGGCCTAGGCTAATGTGTTTGTTT